CCTCGAATACTTTTCGGAAAAGGTGTAGGAGAATAATAGTTAGAGGGGTCAGAAGATTCTCCAGGGTTCTTAAAAACAAGAACTACAGAGGAGGTCTTCCAACAAGCTAGAAAGCAGGAAGCAACGACGCAATAATTTTTAGAGTTTGAAGAGAACTGTAGCTAGCACACAAGAACATTTCTTTATGACGACGGCTAGGATCACGTCACTTCCGCTTGACTTATGGTAATCTAATTCAGAAATGATATCTGATAACAGTAACAATGTTATGTGCATATCACTCAGTAGGGTCTCAGTTCCAGGGTGGGGGATCGGGTGTAGGTACTCCAGATGAGTCGAGTGTTGAGTTGGAAGAGAATTTCCGAGCAAAGCATTCAACCTTAACTGCTGACTGATGTCAGAACTTGAATAGAGGGGAGATTGAGGATTCAGCACATTCTTGCAGAGCCGCCAATAATCTCCAAATCCGAACTTACGAGATGCTATACGTTTTTCATTCTATCAGCAAACGGTAACTTAACTTCGTTGAGGACACGCTTGCTCTGATTACGAGCAGAGACAAAGAGACGTCTGTTGAATCAGACGTGTCGCTATGGAAGAGCATGATGAAATGGTTCCTGTGGGCTATAGCGGCCGAGCATGGAGTTGAGAAAAAAGGAGACGAATGCAGGTTAACTTGGTATTTCCTTGCTGGAATGAAAGCAACGATGCCGGTTTTCACCCAAGAGGAGACCTCAAACGGGCATTTATAAACAAGATGATTAAAATCTTCATTCTAAGGGACGCCACGAAGGGGATCACGGAACGAATCCCAACCCGCTCGTTGATAAGAGAAACATTCTGTTGGTAGGAGGTTCTTGGCTGTTGGGGCAGCGGAAAGAGATGTTTACAAACACTACCGTATGATCAGAGTTGCCAAGACGGCAAAGCTGTATAGTGCAACATGAGTCAGAGAGAGAGGGAAAGAAGTAATCTAGATGAGAAATGTGTCTGTAAGGGTTATTAGGGTAACGCGTGTGGAAGTCCACCATTTGCGTAACAGATTGGGAAGTTCAGGGTTTGGATGCCGGCGAGGTTTAAGCCACCTGGCATGGTGGGTCTTAAGTCACCGAACACAAATATATTTGCAAACGGGTGTAGGGAGATGGCCTTGTCTGTATCGGAAATAAATTTTCTCTTTAGTATTTCATGATAGCTTTGCGTAATTTTAGTATATATATATATATATATATATATATCAAAATGAGATATTAGTGGTATTTTAATTTTTTACGCAAATTATACGACAATTTATCCATCGCACAACACACTAACACATTCAAACTACCCGCACACCTGCTAGTGGTACTCCTGCTTTGCTTGATGTGAAATGCTTAATAAATATAAAATATATATTAAGAAATTTTTATGTTTATACATCCTTATTATATTTTTTACAAGCCTTCACCACTATCATATATATATATATATATATACTAAGACATTTTTATGTTTATATTTTCTTTTTTTTTACAAACCTTCACCACTATGATAAATAAATATATATATATATATATATATATATATATATATATATATATATATATATATATATATAAGATCAAAGTGGTGAAGGTTTGTGGAGAACCAACCAGACATTTTTTTTTGAAGAGCCGAATATTATTTGGTACAAACGACACTCCGCACGCTTTGAATTCAGAGCTGTCCTTCTTGCAGACTGTTCGCCACCCAGGGCTATAGGACCCAGTCTGTCTTGCTATTTACCCATATCTGGGGGTTGGGTAGAGAGGGATATATAGATAGAGAGAGAGAATGAGAAAGAGAGCGGAGGAGAATTCTAAATGAGAGAGACTGAAAATGGAAGACGGCCTGTCGGAGACTTATGCAGAGGTATGCGAAAAAAAAAAAAGGAAAACAAAAAGAAAGATGTGTTGGCCAATTTTTCTGTCGAGAAATAAAATTTTATCTTGTAAAAAATGCTCATTTCAACGAAGACCAAATAAGTAAAAATAAAAATAAAAATGTCTTCAGGTGACGATAAAATTACAAAACAGAAATAACTAAAGACGCCCCATTGCTCAATAATATCTGTGAATGTATGGTACGAAAAAGAAAAAAAATACAAAAAAAAAAACTACATTTGCCAGGCTTATCTTTCTCGTCGGCCAGCTCCCGGGGATCTGGCGCGAGTAGTTGGCGGGGTGTGGTGACGAGGAATAAAACAGGCTGTCGTGCCAACAAAGTGCAGGTCGATAATATCGTTGGGCCGCGCGACGTGAAATTATTTGCCAGTTCGTTTTGGCGGCAAGGTTAGGGTTGATACGTTGAACATTGGCAGAGACATTAAATGCAAAACCCAAAATGAAATTGCGACGTCACACCGGTCAATGAGTTGGTTCCAGTAAACAAATGATAAACTAATCCGATTCATTTTGTATAAATATTATATATATATATATATATATATATATATATATATATATATATATATATATATATATATATATATATATATATATATATATATATATATATATATATATATATATATATATATATATATATATATATATATATATATATATATATATATATATATTATATTTTCTGAATGTTTTAGTGTTTTAGTGTTTCTTTGTTGTCTGTAGGGTTGTGTAATTCATTTTTGTGCATTTTGGGTAGTAATCCCTCTTTTATGCAAGGTCAGTCAACACTATATATATATATATATATATATATATATATATATATATATATATGTATGTATGTGTATGTATGGATGTATGTAAGCATTTCACCCCAAAGCAAGGCGGGGAAGCCACTAGGACGCAAGGGGTTACAGAAGATTTGGAGCAAGATCAGATAGGAGTGATAGAGGAAAGGATGAGGAGAAGGATAGTGGATAGATCAAGGCAACTAGAGATGTCGATTGACATTACATTTGAATAGATAGAGATTATAGCTATCAGAGAAACAGTAAAAGTCGTGGGGGGGGGGTTCCACAGGCGAGAGGTATAACATTATGGAAAATAAAGCATAATATTTTCTGTAAAAAATCCACATTACAACCAAAAACTTTTGCAGTACCTCTTCTTTATTATATATATATATATATATATATATATATATATATATATATATATTAAAATAATAAGAAAGAATAATAAGATATTTTTATTTTTAAAAAACAAATACATGTATGTGTGTTCGTGTGCGTGTGTGCCTTTGTGTATGCGTGCGTGCATGCGTGTTTGGGTGTGCGTGTGTGTATTTTCAAGACGTTGACACGTCCGAAGATTACTTCGCAGCGTGAAACTTGAAATCGTTGTATCGCGACACGGAAAATTCTATGATTCGGAACTTAACTCTGTTCCATTTTCAAGCGATGTTGGGTAACTTTTGATGAAAATGATATATATATATATATATATATAATTTTCATGCATATATATATCATTTATATATATGTGTGTGTGTGTGTATCATTTATAGATAGATAGATAGATAGATAGATAGATAGATAGATAGATAGATAGATAGATAGATAGATATACCGAGTGAGCCAGACAAACCTACCCAGGGGAAGTTGGCTAAAGAGGCAAAAAGAGAAACGCATATTTATAGGCGATAGACAAAATTATACCGCGTGACCAAAAATAAATAAAACCTGTATCTGTGCGATTTTTTTCGACAGGCTTTCATGTTTCTAGCTCTTTCATTTTTTAAAATATTTCTTTCCCTCGAGATTGATTTGATTATTGGCAAATCAAAAATTATAGTTACCTATATATATATATATATAATTTATATATATATATGTCTGTGCGTGTGTGTTTCTGCGTGTGCGCGCGCGTGTGTGTGTGAGAGGGGGAGAGAGAGACGAACCCACTCTTTCTTCACCTTGTTGTTCTTTTCATTTTCTCTCTGTCGATTGATTTCTTTACACTCTCCGCCTGTTCGAGTTTTCACTCTCCCGCATTACCTGCTTTGAATTTCTCTTACCCTCTTTCCCTCTCGCTGACTCTATCTTTCTTTCTATCTCTATCTCTCTCTCTGTCTCTCTCTCTCTCTCTCTCACTGTCTATCTTTCTCTCTCTATCTCTCTGTATGTTTCATACACACACCTTCTCTTTGTTCCCCTGTTCCGCTTTTACGTCTTATCCCCGTTTATTCACTACTCTACTCTCTTCATTCCCCCTCTCTATCCTATTTGAATTTATCTCTCTCTCTCTCTTCCCACTCTCACTCTCTTTCTCTCCCTCATTACATACACACACTCACTCTCTTTGCTCGTTTCTTTTCGTTTCTCTCTTTTTATTCAGCATTTTGTGACTCTCTATTTTCTATTATTCTACCTATTCGAATTTCCCTCTCTCTCACACACACACTCTCACTCTCTCTCTCTCTCTCTCTCTCTCTCTCACTTTCTTTCTTTCAATTTCTCACTCTCACTCTATTTACACACTCCGTTTATTCCATTATTCACTCCCCCCTCTCTCTCTCTCTCTCTCTCTCACACATACACACCCTTTCTCTCTTTTTCTTTAGTTCTCGTATTTTTTTCTCATTCCAATTGTTTTTTTTTTCACTCCCTTTCCTAATTTTCTCGCTTCAATTCTCTCCACCCGCTCTTTACTTGTTTCTCTATCTCTGTCTCTCTTGCATTCATATCTTTTCTTCTGTGTCTGTCTCTTTCCCCTCTTCCTCTCTAACAAAATGATTATTTCTTTCCAATTCCCCCCTCTCTCTCTCTATCTCTCCCTCTCTTTCTCTTCCTCTTTTCCTCTTTAGGATAGTATATCTATGCTTCTTTTGAAATGTTTCTGTCTCCTTGTCCATCTGACTCTGTCTGTCTGTCTGTCTGTCTCTCTCTCTAATTTCTCTTCTTGGGGAGTCTTCGTTTTCCGTTTCACGCCTTCTCATATAAATGAACCATCTCTCTCTCTCTCTCTCTCTCTCTCTCTCTCTCTCTCTCTCTCTCTCTCTCTGGGTGTGTGTGTTTATCTATGTCCCATAGGTACATGAATATTCTCTCTTTTTACCTCTGTTTTACACACACAATAATGAAATATATTCGAATGTATTGATATGAAATATAAGATGGATAAATAAATATGAAGACATAGATAGATAGATAGATAGATAGATAGATAGATAGATAGATAGATATAAACAGATTGAGATAGATAGATAGATAGATAGATAGATAGATATAAACAGATTGAGATAGATATGAACAGATTGAAATAGATAGATAGATAGATAGATAGATAGATAGATAGATAGATAGATAGATAGATAGATATGAGCAAATTGAGATAGATAGATACATAGATAGATAGATAGATAGATATTAACAGATTGAGATAGATATGAACAGACTGAAATAGATAGATAGATAGATAGATAGATAGATAGATAGATAGATATGAGCAGATTGAGATAGATAGATACATAGATAGATAGATATTAACAGATTGAGATAGATATGAACAGATTGAAATAGATAGATAGATAGATAGATAGATATGAACAGATTGAGATAGATAGATAGATAGATAGATAGATAGATAGATATGAACACATTTAGATAGATAGATAGATAGATAGATAGATAGATAGATAGATAGATAGATAGATATGAACAGATTGAGATAGATAGATAGATAGATAGATATGAACACATTTAGATAGATAGATAGATAGATAGATAGATATGAACAGATTGAAATAGATAGATAGATAGATATATAGATATGAACACATTTAGATAGATAGATAGATAGATAGATATGAGCAGATTGAGATAGATAGATAGATAGATAGATAGATAGATAGATATTAACAGATTGAGATAGATATGAACAGATTGAGATAGATAGATAGATAGATAGATAGATAGATAGATAGATATGAACACATTTAGATAGATAGATAGATATGAACAGATTGAAATAGAAAGAAAGAAAGAAAGAAAGAAAGAAAGAAAGAAAGAAATAGAATCCCATGGATATGGAGAGACTGTGGTGGCTCGAGCAAAAGAAGTCAAACTGAACTGAGGATCCCAAATACCTTATGCCGTTCTTTCAGTCACATTTTGTGTTCATTAACTGCTTTAACTGCACCTTCACGCGAAATCAAACGGATTTGGCCGCCCACACGTCGTATTTTTTTGTGTGCGGCTTTTCTAATTAAGAAGCATTGATTAACGACTGTTTATTTGAAATCTTCCCCAAGAAATAAATTCATTCACATAAAGAAATACTGTACAATTGTCAATTGTTCAAACAAACACATTTCAAAATATTTTGGTGAAAACTTAAAACAAAAGAACTGTTTTTATCTCCGTTCGAAGGATGTCAGTGTTAGCGGACGCTGGGGGAATGTGTGAAAAACGTGCATACATGTTTCTGTATTAATATGCAAATATACAACCATACATACATACATACACACACAAAATTATATTCGTACTAAATGATTTTCCTGTAAAAGGAGATTTCCTTGATGTTATATTAGACCTAGTTAATAATGCATTCCAAGCCTACATGAAAACAAATGCCAATCCAATATATATCCACCCAAATTCTAACCACCCTCCATCTGTAATCAAACACATACTTTCCTCCATAGAATATAAGATTAGCAATAACTCTTCCAAGGAAGATGCCTTTTACAAACATAGCAAAAACACTGCCTTAAAAATAGTGGCTATAAGTGCCTTGACATCATACTTGATATAAAACCCAGGTTGTGTGTGTGTGCGTGTGTGTGTGTACGTTCATATATTGGATCGGATTTCCAGACATTTTTCAACCGATTTCAACAAAACTTCACAAGACTACGTAAAATTACCTTGCGGTGGTTCTGATAGCGCCAAAAATTGGAAAAACACAATTGTTTTCGCACGAAATCAGTTTGAAAACACGATTAAGAGGCATCGCAACAATGAAAGGGGGACAACTCATATCGAGTTATACTTAATATAAAACCCAGGTTGTTTGTGTGTATGTGTGTGTGTCTTCGTTTATATACGGGATCGGATTTCCTACATTTTTCAACCGATTTCAACAAAACTTCATTTTGGGGGTGGGGGCAGGTAGTGTTTCTTATTGTCTTGCACACTTTGTTCTTTATTTTTACATTCAGAATGCTTTAAAAATTCCATTTACAAGACAATTGTTTATAATAAAATTCTATTCAATCGGTAGACTCATAACGATTGAAAACAATGTTTTTCTTTGAGTTTGACCAATTCGTAAAAAAAAAAAAAAAAAAAAACTAATTAAGACATGCGTGTCCGTCAACCTTAAACAATAATCTTTGTCAATTTTATTTTTCAGTCTTTATGATGGTCGATATTTGATCTATCTCTTACTGTTACATCCCCGGGCAACGCCGGGCTCTACTGCTAGTCAAATATATAAGACATAACAACACCGATCATAGGAATAAAAAAAACATTTGATATTACCATGGGATCATTAGATTCTGCTGATTCTTCCGACCTAGTTGGTTTATTTATCATATATAATCTTACTGCCTACGATGATATTAACATCGATAATATAAGTTTATATAGAGATGATGGCCTAATGCTAGTTAAAAATTCCACAAAAGTTAAAGCTGACAAAATCAGAAAATTAATACATAGAGAATTTAAAATCTTAAACTTAAAGTTAAAATCAACACTAATTTAAAAAAGATGCCCTTGATATTACATTAGACCTAGTTAATAATGCAATCCAACCCTACACGAAAACAAATGCAAATCCGATATATATCCACCCAAATTCTAACCACCTCTATCCGTAATCAAACACATACCCTCCTCCATAGAATATAAAGTTAGCAATATCATTTCCAGTGAAGATATCTTTTACAATCATAGTAAATTTTATAACATCGCCTTAAAAAATAGTGGCTATAAATGAGTGTCCTGACATCAAATATATAAATCATAACAGCGATAGTAGGAATAAAAATAAAAAGAGAAAAATCATTTGGTACGCCCCCACCCATTTAACCGAAGGGTTAGTACTAAGTTAGGGCAGAAGTTTCTCCATTTAATTGAGAATCACTTTCCCAGAAATAATCCACTAATACGATTTTCAATACAAATATAATTAAATTAAGCTATAGATGTAACGATAATCTTGAAAAAATTATTTAAAAAACATAATAAAAGAATTTTAAATCAATACAAAAAGAACTAAGTTATTGCTTTTCTTTTTCTGCTTCGGTGTCAGCATTTTTTAGGCCTATCTTTCAGACAGCTTGCTCATGGCTAAGATCTTAGTTAAAACCGTATGGACCGAACTAATGCCTATGGACAGGTAGGCGCCTATCATCCTAAAACATACTGTGAATGGCATCAACTTGTTCATCAGTGTTTGAGGCTTTTGAAATGATCTGACCGAGGTTCATCTCTGTTGTACCTTCACCGATTGCAATCCGTAGTCCTCTTCGTCACACTTGCATTGAAAGGGATGTCCTCAGAAAGAGTATGCACCATGCTGTCATGGATTTCCTTGAGTGCCATATCTTTCTTTTGGAAATACCTTGTGAGTGCTCAGGCATCTGTTTTCTCCATTTGGGTTTTTTTTTTTTTTCAGATTTGTCTTACAGCTCTCACCTATGTATGGATTCCATCTTTATTGGAGGAGGGTTTTCTTACTGGAAATTTATATGATTAGGAAGAGATATTATTTTTGCCTTTTTTTTTTTTGCATGTAGAAGACTTATTAATAAAAGCAAAAAAAAAACACATAATAATATTAACTGTGAACATGGACACAATATCTTGACCGTGTTTGGGAAAATGAAAACATTACATAAATCCATGCATGCAACAAACTATTTAACAGTTAAAATATTTCGTCCTTGAAAATTGCTAAATGTATAGCCGAAAGCGCCCAGATAAAAAGAACATTCGGACAGTTTTTATATAACTTATCATCTGAAAAGAAAAAAATATTAGATCGCATGAGAAATTGTATAAAAAAATAAATCAAAGCACTTTGTCTGTCGTATTCAATGAAATGTGCATATATATATATATATATATATATATATATATATATATATATATACTGCGTGCCAAATTATTATCGAGATAACATTTTTTCCTAATTTTGAGTGTGCCAAATTATTAGAAAAGTGTAAGAATTTAGTGAAAAGATGGGCCATAAAAGCAGTTTAAGTGATGCTGAAAAGAAAACTATCACCTCAGAACTCTCAAAAGGTAAATCTACCCTAGAAATTTCTAAAATGATAGGGAGGTGTCATCAAACAGGGAAAAAGTTCACTGCCGACCCTACACAAGTACGCAAATGGTCAGATAAAGGCAAGCCGAGGGTTATTTCATGTCGTCTCATGTCATGACTTAAATGAGAGGCCACGAAGAACTCCGGACTTACCTGTCAACATCTTTTCAGTCGCATGGGGATCTTACTGTGTCTAAAAGTACTCGGTGTCGGTATCTGAGTGAAATAGCAACAACAGTCAAACCTGTATCGAAGCCTCCGTTGACGAGAAATTACATTCAAAATCGATTGAAATGGGCCGAGGACAATATGAAGATTGACTTCTCTAAAGTTTTGTTCAAAGACGAACTTCGAGCAACACTTGATGGGCCAGATAGATGGTGCAAAGGCTGGGCAATGAATGGACAGAATCGCCATCAGCGTTTGAGACACCAACAAAGCGGTGGAGGCATAATGATCTGGGGTGGTATTATTGGAAAAACATTAGTGGGCCCATGGAGAGTACCAGATGGCGTCAAAATGACTGCTGATGCATACATAGCATTTATGAAGGAGCATCTTGAACCGTGGATGAAAAGACAGAGTTGCCTTTAGAAGGGCCATTGTTTTTATGCAAGATAATTCACTCTCACAAGACTACTGAATTTTTGAAACAGTTAGGCTTCGATGGACCTCGAAATCTGAAGTGGCCAGCAAATTCTCCGGATTTGAACCCAATCGAAAACCTTTGGAGCATTATGAAGCGAAGACTGTACGCCAACAGATGACAATTCAGGAGCAACGCTGAGTTGTGGAAAGCAATTCTTGACATATCTCGCAGCATTACAGCAGATGACATCCTACAATTAACAAATTCTATGGATCGTCAACTTCTTCAAGTAATTTCAAAACAGGGAAAGCACATTCTCTATTAATTTGTTTAAAACTGTGCCTTTGTTTGTATCTGTTATTATTTGTTTGATTATCTTATTTATTAGCTTCTCTTGATCATAAACATTCATGTGCAACATTAATAAACGTTTTGTTTGCTCAATTCTGGGAATTTTACTAAACGTTTCTAATAATTTGGCACGCTTAAATCACCATGCTGATAATAAATATGGCGTCAGTTTGTTTACAATGCGCAGATCAATACGAAAATTTCAGTGATTGCGCAGGTCAGTGTTGCCAACATTGTGCGAACATTTTGTGTGAATCGATTAGACGGTTTTTGAAATATTAGAAAAAAAGTTATCTCGATAATAATTGGGCACGCAGTGTATATATATATATATATATATATATATATATATATATATGGGTTAATGATTTATATATATGCACATTTCATTGAATATGACAAGATGTTTTTAGTTATTTTTTTATACAATTTCTCATGGGAGCTATTTTTTTTTCTTTTCAGATAATAAATTATATAAATTATATAAAACTGTCCTAATATTCAGGCGAATTAAAAGAACATCGAAATAAAAAACGATTATTAGATTGCATGAGAAATTGTATAAAACTAAATAAAAGCACCCTGTCTCTCGTATTCAATGAAATGTACATAAAGAAGGATTGCTGCCAAATATAAATATATATATATATATATATATATATATATATATATATATATATATATTTCATTAAATATGACAGACAAGAATAATTTAATTAATTTTTTTATTTAATTTTTCGTTTGGTGGGACTAAGAGAGTGAAAAAAAATTGTCCATATTTTTCATTGTCCCACGCGCTTTCGGCAACTTCTTTTTCAAGGGGGTTTTGTTTAGGTGTTTAGCTATAAGGTAGGCCGTGTATATTAAACATCTCTCTCCCACTGTCAAGCTCAGCTTATTTAACAATGGGAATGGCGTGTTAAAAGTTTGTTTTAATAGAAAGACGCTAACTTGAATTCCAGTTTCTAATAGCATTCCAAACAACATAAAAAAAACATCTTACACAGTCAAAGAATGTATAAACATAAAAATGTCTTAAAATAATTGTCGGACTTTGTCCATTTCATAATGTGTGACGTCATTTGATTACATTTGATACGGCCTGAGCAGATATGAATGTACGTGAGAGTTTCATGGAAGATTGAATTTTAAATACAGTAAATTCGACTTTTGCTAACCGAGCGCTCTTTCGTGTCCAAATCGGTAAAGGTACGTCAGGCTAAATGACGGTTCCGTATAGGATACAGGTTCGAATCCTTTTCGGAGGACGAATATTTTCTATGAACAATCCTCGGATATCCAGGCCGGTAAATGTTGTTTAATACTGTTAATAAACAGAGCATTTACTTAAATATTTGTATCTATAAAAAGAACGTATAAACATAAAAATGTCTGCGCTGTTATATCTTAGAATGATTAAAGATATCTGTTATATCTTAGAATGATTAAAGATATCTTACTGGAAATATCTGAGATTTTTATAACACTAGTGGGCCCTACTTTGAGCAATATAAATGGATAATTACTCTCCAACTTAACAGAAGAATCATGATGAAATCGACCAAAAATGAAAATTACATGTTCATCATTAATTAATCATATCTAAGGACCCGATGCTTATGAAGAAATTTAAATACAGTTAATATATATATATATATATTATTCCAGGGTCATTTTAAAACTTATTCAAGATGATCATCACCCTCTGTAACGTTCTTACTTTCAGTCCTGGAAACAGGTTTCACGTACGATTTCATTTTCAAGTCTTTGTTCATTGCTCTTTGAACTGTTATAGCTGAAACTCCTCTCTCACATGCCTACCGTCTTATGGATTGATTTGGATCATTTTTAATTGATCTCTTTAACTCTAAATGGAAATGATGATCCCTCTTCCTGTTGTGACCTCCTGATCCAGTTTTCCTCTCTACTGTTTCCGCTTTTTAAACTTATTTACCGTTCATTTGAAAGTTCTTGAACGGATTTTGAAGATGAGAGTATGAATGTTGCTCTATTACTGAAGGCCTGAATGATATTTTTCCTCTCGCCATTGCTCAGTTGGAAAGACAATGGGAGTGGCACAAAACGATTTTAACCCTTTCTCTTTGTAACTGAAGAACTCAAAGTTTTTTCAGTGATTCTTATTACAAATGGTGTCAAGATGGCCACACGTCTTATCTAAAATCCCGAAAAAGCGAAACTCAAATAGTTAAGTTGATCTTGTAGATATTAAACATTTTGATAGAGAATTACGCTGTTACACGATTTAGACCATTTTGCTCTTACACACGATATATATATATATATATATATATATATATATGTATGTATGTATGTATGTGTGTATGGGTGTGTGGAGATAGATAGATAGATAGATAGATAGATAGATAGATAGATAGATAGCGAACAAATTGATATATACATATATATATGAAGAAAAATATACTGAAAAAACAAACAAAAATCCTAATATGCGATTATGCTGTTTTAATACAGTATAATCGCATATTAGGATTTTTGTTTGTTTTTTCAGTATATTTTTCTTCATACTGTCGGATCTATATCGATATATTTGCTTACACACACACACACACACACACACACACACACACACACACACACACAGATAGATAGATAGATAGATAGATAGATAGATAGATAGATAGATAGATAGATAGGTACGGAACAGATAGATAGATAGATAGATAGATACGGTACGATACGATACGGTACGATACGATACGGTACGATACGGAACTGATAGATAGATAGATAGATAGATAGATAGATAGATAGATAGATAGATAGATAGATCAGAAGAAAACCTTCCGTTCAGATATGATCAAACGCCACTATGAATGATTTTTTTTTCATGTAAAATTCTTGTTTATCCAAATTGTGATATTTTTTGTTTTCTTCTCATCCGCCGAAAATTAATATCTTTTGTAAATGAAATTCGAAATTCAATAAAATCTTTTCTATTCGAAGAATCCGTCCGCTTTTGTCAGTATTCTTTTACTTTTTATTAATCAAAAGTATTTTGCCATATTCAACAGGAAAATCGTTTTTTTTTCTTTTCTGATTCTTTCGCAAACATGACATAAAATAATTTTTATGACCAGACGAACATTTTCGGTTAGGTGTAACTCTGACATATAGAGTGGCATTTGTTATGCTTTTTTTTCTCTCTCTCTCTTCAATTGGCAAAGAATTTATTTGAATAGTTCAAGTTTTGTTTTCAGATATTTGATATATACAATAGCTGTTGATATCGTTATCAAAAGAATTGATATAGGCAAATATTTACCTACATATATATTTAGATGAACATAGATAGATAGATAGATAGATAGATAGATAGATAGATAGATAGATAGAAATAAAACTCAGATAAAAATAGCACTTTGATAGATAGATAGATAGATAGATAGATAGATAGATAGATATGAACAGACTGAGATAGATAGATAGATAGATAGATAGATAGATAGATAGATAGATAGAAATGAGACACAGATAAAAATAAAACTTAGATCGATATATAAAAGTAATTCGTAGTTGAAAATAAGACTTAGATTAAAAAACAACTAAAAACAAGTCTTCGATAGCTAAATGTAATTCTTAGTTAAAAATATGACTAAGATAGATAGATAGATAGATAGATAGATAGATAGATAGATAAAAAAGAGAGCTTAAATAAATCTTAGATCAATAGATAAAAGTAATTCTTAGTTAAAAATAAGACTTAGATAATTAGATAAAAATAAGACAACTGAAATAAATCTTAGATTAATAGATGGAAGTTAGACTTAGTCAAAAAATAAATCTTAGATAGATAGATAGATAGATAGATAGATAGATAGATAATGCAGAGACTGAGATAGATAATCGCCAACCTGACATTTGATTATTTGATCATTGTGATTGATATTCACCAGTGAATAAGTTGTGTTATCACAAAAAAATATGAAAAATCAATGTTTATTATGAAATGTATAATAATTTTATTGCGCGTGTTTGTAAGTGAAGAGAAACATTAAGGGAAAAGAAAGAGATTCAGAGTATCGAAATAGAGAAAGAAAATCATATATATATATATATATATATATATATATATATATATATATATATATATATATATATATTTGGAACCAGAAATAGGAGATTGAACCGTAAGTTTCTTTGGAGAACCATTTGCCATGACCAATAATGGAACTCAATTTGAAAGTTAGCCTTTCGCATGATAAATATTGGACTATATATATATATATATATATATATATATATATATATATAAGTGAACATTGAAGTCAACACTTAGAGGCGACAGTCTGTTTCATGCTAGACGTAATCGTCAGGCCTGACGATTGCGCCGAGCATGAAACAGACTACATGAAAACTGCCGTAGAAGCATGAAAAACTTGATTATTTCCCCTATCGATGGGAGTTGGGAAATGCAAAGTCGGTCTTGGCCTTTCCGCTAACTTGGAGCATGTGCATGTAAAGTTTGGTGCAAATCCGTCGAAAATTGCGGCCGTGCATTCGTTACACACACACACACACACACACACACACACACACACACACCCTGCCTTTTATAGATAGAGATACATTGTTTTTTTGTTTTTGTTTTTTTTTGTTTGTTTGTGTTTTTGTTTTTTTTTTGCTCGCTTTTGTAGCAGTGGTTGACACAAATGTGTTTGTTATATAAGGCATCATAGAAGCCATAGATGTAAAAATAAATAAATAATTAATTAAATCCTTTCGATCTTTTCACAATATAATCTGCACCAACCTGACATCGTTTACATCAATATGTGACGCAGCATCAGCTGTTGAGATTGTGCATATCTGCTCAACGATAGCCTAATTTCATTTAAAGGTTCGGATTATGAAAGAAAATAATTTGGCCAAAATCATATGCAGATCGAAAACTCAGGTTGAATTTCGTTCATAAGGACAATGGGAAGAAAAAAAAACGACTTTTTTTTTTTTGTACTGAGGTTCACACAATAGAAGACCCGAAAAGCCTCTCAGTCTATATCGTTACAGCTAAAAAAAGTTTTGATGAAAGCGAGCTGTTACGTGACATCTTTCCTCCTTTACGGCAATGAATTGTGGACGGTCTCCCCAAAGATGAAGAAGCGGAAAGAGGAAAAGTAATCAGGAGGACACTTGCTCCAACGTAGGTCCATCTCTCTCTCTCTCTCTCTCTCTATATATATATATATATATATATATAGGACATACTTCTAATATATATATATATATATATGTGTGTGTGTGTGTGTGTGTGTGTGTGTGTGTGTGTGAAAATATATAGAAAATAGGAAAGAACTGGTTAGGTAAATAATCCAAGGTTGCTTAGTATTTTTGTTATTATTTTTTAAAAAATAGTGCTCGATACAAAAGTAGAGCATAAATATAATTATTAATTTAAAAATATGATTCAACTCGCGACATAAGAGGTCTCATGTTTCAAAACAAGAGCCGAAAACTTCAATATAATTATTTGAATTAAATTGAATTAAAGTAGCTCTGTTCCATCTTCAAGAAATTTTTTTTGGAATAACTTATTTCGCTTGAAGATGGAACAAACTTACTTTAATTCAATTTAATTCAAATAATTATATTGAAGTTTTCGGCTCTGTTTTGAAACATGAGACCTCTTATGTCGCGAGTTGGAAATATTTTAATATATATATATATATATATATATATATATATATATATATATATATATATGTGTGTGTGTGTGTGTGTCTGTGAAGCGTTGTTTTGAAATAACTATGGTACGGAATGTTTTACTTATTTATAGTTTTGAAATGGGGAGGTCTAGAGTTTGTTTTTTCTTTATCAAGGGGTCACTGCTTTGATGGATGTACCATAGTTATTCCAAAACAACGCTTGAGAATGAAACTGCCACCCAGTAGTTAAGGTTTAATATTACAAGGTGACTAAAAAAGTTTTGTCCGTTTTTTGATTAGTCATTGAATGAATTTGAAATATATACGAAATGCGTCTAGCAATTGTTTTCAAATTCGGACAGCCGGAAGTAGGAACATCAGACGTTATAAAAAAACACGCGCAACGTGCCCGGCCATCAGTTATAAGCCGGACAGCTATGAGAACGATGAAAGTATCTAGAGATCTCGTTCGGGGCTGTTTGCTTTACGACTTCAAAGTGGGCTTATCAGCAGCTGCATCAAGTCGCCGCATATGTCAAGCGTTTGGGGATAGTGCTGTGGATGAACGTACTGCAAGGCGTTGGTTTCGAAAATTCAAGTTGGGAGATTTGTCTCTCCATGATGAGCCTCGCAGTGGACGCCCACAGGTCTTGAATGACGGAGTCCTGAAGGCGGCCATTGAAGAGGACAGTAGTCTAATGTGTGGTGAACTTGCAAGACAGTTCAACGTTTCCGATGAAACAGTTAGACTTCACCTGCACCGCCTAGGTAAGACGTACAAACTGAGCAAGTGGGTTCCGCAAACACTGTTGGAGGTCCACAAGAGACAACGAGTGGCAGCCTGCGTATCGCTGCTTTCTCGCCACCGTACCGCATCCTTATTCAATCGAGTGCTTACCAGTGATGAAAAGTGGGTTCTGTACGAAACTCCCAAGCGTTCCAGACATTGGTTGTCTCCTCAGGATGCTGTCCCTCACACCGCAAGACCGCCTATGCACCCACGCAAGATTATGCTTTGTGTCTGGTGGACAGGTCGTCAAGTGGTTCATTATGAACTGCTACCAACGGGCCAAACGGTCACTGGAGACCTATACTCGCAGCAATTGAAACGTGTGCAACAGGCATTGCGCCAGAAGAAGCCAGCACTGGTGAATCGCAAAGGTGTGCTTTTCCTCCATGACAACGCCAGGCTACATGTCGCGCAAGTGGTCAGGGATACCATAAAGCAACTTGGGTGGGAGACTTTGTGCCATCCACCTTATTCACCTGACCTTGCGACATCCACCTCTTCCACTCCCTGGATAATCATCTTCGTGGGAAATCCTTCACCAATAAAGCAGACTTGCGCAAATCCCTCACGGATTTCTTTGCATCAACCCCCACCCCGAGTTCTACCGCAAGGGCATTGAACAGCTGGAGACACGTTGGCAGAATGTGCTGGATGCCGATGGAGATTATTTCGAAGACTAAATATTAGTTACACATACTGTGAAGCGATTTCTTTTTTTCCTTTAAAAACGGACAGAACTTTTTTGGTTACCTTATAGAATTAAACTCAAATACTGCTAACCAGTCTCTAAACAGTAATTTCTGTGTTCACTTTTGTATTTACATACGCTCTATCCCTCATTTTGAACACTTTATCCCATAAAAATAGCACACCTAAAAACTATATTTATTCATATATATATATATATATATATATAATCCTTAAAAGAATTGTTATTTGTGAATCAATAAATAAATAAAAAAATGATGTTTAAACAAGAAATAAATAAACAAACGGAATGCACCTATATTTGAAATGGCTATTCATATGGGGTCTCTTTGAAAATTGGAAAAGCACAATAAAAAATTAGACACAACTTGTTGGTACTTCTTAATCAGACTTATTTGATATATATATATATATATATATATATATATATATATATATATAATTATTTTTTTTAAAAATATGATTCCATCGCGACACAGTAATTACTATGTTTCGGAACGGGTCATCAGTATTTAAGCTTAATTCCAATAATGCTTGAGGATAAAACTGCCAGCCAGGGTTTAAGGTGTAATATTGGAATTAAACTTAAATACTGCTGATAAGTTTCGAAACATAGTAATTTCTGGGTCGGGATTGAATCATATTTTTTTTTTTAAATAATTATAATCTAGGCTCTACTTATGTATCGAGCACTGTTTTTTTTTTAAATAAAAACAAAAATACTAAAGAACTTTGAATCATCAGTCTAAAGGTTCTTTTCCTATTATATCAATAGATTTGCATATATATATATATATATATATATATATATATATATATATATATATATATATATATATATATATATATATGTGTGTGTGTGTGTGTGTGTGTGTGTGTGTGTGTGTGTGTGTGTGTGTGTGTGTGTGTGTGTTTGTCTAAACGACCGGTTGTCTATAGCTAGGATCGAAAGCATCACTTCGAACACAATAATCAAAACCTCCTCGAAAAATTAGAAAAATACAATAAAAAAATTAGCAGACAGATGTATATTGTATATATCTATATGTTAGTTCGTTTATATATGTATTTGGTTGAAAGTTGTTGTATTTTTATGTATGCATGTATATATGGGTGGTTGTTATTGCAGGTAGATATATTTATGTATATATATATATGTTTATTTGTAGATATGTATGTATGTGTGTATATATATTTATGTATGTTTGTGTATGTATATATATAGGTGTGTGTGTTGGAACCTATTATGTATGAGTTTGTGTGTATGTGTAGGTATGGAAACTTTGGTATATCATGACTGTTTTTATATATCTAAGTATGTGTGCATAAAAGTCTATGTGTGTATATATGTGTGTGTATTTAGGTTTATATGTATATGTACGTACATATGTACTTGTTATCATAGATATGTATATGTACGTATATGTTTATGTTTATATATTTATTTGTGTGTATTTCTGTACGTATATGTATGTATGAATATATATATATATATATTTTTTTTTATGTGTGTTAATTTGTTTTTGCTGCCGTGTATATATATATATATATATATATGTATATATTTGTGGATTTCTTTATCCTGTTTTTCTTTGCCAAATATATAATGAAACTATTATCAACTTATATGATTAATAATATATATATATTTTATTGATATTTATTGTTTTAGAGTTTTCGTTTTAATATATTAAATAATATTATTTTAAACATTTTTATCTTTATATATTTGCTCCCTTAAGTTATAATTCAATAAGTGGTTAGCATTTATTTAAGTCTGAAATATTTACTGGTTGTGATTTCTCAATGTCTATGCCATTGTGGATGTATGTTTGTGTATATATCGGTGTCTATGTGTATGTAGAGTGTATTCACATTTAACTGTGTGTGTGTATAAGTGTTAGTTTCACGTCTCCTTTTTTCGTAAAGGGCTGTGGAGTTGTTCATGTATTCCCCACCTCTTCCTTTTTTTTTTTTTTTTTTTTTTTGTGTGTGTATATTTTGTGTGTGTGTGTGTGTGTGTGTGTGTGTGTATGTATCTAATTATGTCTAGATGCGTATGTATTATAATCTGATTGTGTTTTTTTTTGTTGTGTCACGCGTGAGTTTAAGACCATATTCACAAACTTTAAAATAAAAACGGAAAAAAAAAAAATATATACATGTATTATCAGATGACCGGACGAATTGTAGCTTTTTGTCTTGTCAGACGTAATTTCAATGAAGAAATGAATTGAATAAACATATATATTTTTTCTTTTTTCAATAATTTTGTAGTTTTTAAACTTAATAGTGATTAAATTTGGATTTTAAAATTGCCAGTTTTTAATTTTAATATTAAATTTTATCATATAAATTTATAATTATTAGTTAGTAAAAATTATTTTTAATATTACACGTATTTAAAGATCTAAATAGCTATAATAGCAGGATTTTTTGTTGTCAAGCTTTTTGAATCTTTCTGTACTTCGTTTTTTTGATTGGTTATTCTAGCTTTTGTAACAATGCTCCCCTAGTGTAGGATCGTTAATTAATCTGAAACTTTTAAAACCATTTATTTTATTTTCAACACCATCACTTGATAAGACACAGAGTGTGTTGAAACAAAATGGCTATTCTTGTAGTGATTTTATAACATACTTAT